GTTCAAGCGAGCGGGTCAGAAAGCGCGCCTCAGTAAATTTAGTAACACTTCTAAATTCGCTGCCGAGTTTCGTTGGCTGAGTTTCAAAGTTTGAAATGAAGAGCGAAAAAGCGCGCATTATAACCTGTTTATTTTAATGAAAATCATGATCTAGATCAAACCCGCGTCCACTTTAAAATTATTAAATTTATTCTGGCCTACGAGTTTGCTGGGGCGCCTTTTCTGACCCGCTCACTTGAACCCAAGTGAGCACATGAAGAACTCAAGTAAAGTATTTTCAGGTTACGGTAGTTTTCGTTCTGACACTTTAAACCATCAGCGTCTTTTACAATACATGTATCTTATACCAGTATAATATATCAAAATTTATAATTAATCAATCACTTCTTTACAATCACTGAATTCTTGACAGCAAGTGCATGACTCGATGTGAATGTGACACCAGTGTTGGGCGTGTTCTTCCGACTTCCAAGTAGTGTGTCTCGAACGTTCTGAAAACATTTTCAGCTTTTTTTTCAAGGACTTCAAATTTCCGAAAAAAAATTACCTTGACCATACAAATCACTAAAATTGGGTTAATGGCAGGACACCAAGAAAAAAGATACGGTAGATTTGAAGAAAGAATTGTGAATTCAATATCAGCATACGGGAGGATAAAGGCAGTGTAGAAGGGGATATGGATGGTGATGAAAGGGAAGATGAACTGAAAATTTAGAAAATTACAGTTTCAGAAAATAGAGAATTGGGGAGAAACACATGAGAATTAGTGTGACATCGGACATTACATTGGGAAAAAGAACTTGTTACAGACGGGTCCCCCAAAGAATCAACTGTGACCTAATTTATCGCATTTCCTTTAACAGGTATCAAAAATTTGTCAACTTACAAAATATTTTCGATAACATGATAAAACTTCTTGATATCTTTTACAGCGAACGAGGACACTTGTCTTTATTATGGATGTTATGGGCCCATTTAGCTGATTATATCTCTCAAAATATTTCAGTTTCAAGTAGAATGTATAATTGTTTAGCTATTGATCAGATAATTTGCGAAAATGAAGTTTTTCCCGATTAGTCACCTACCTCGGATTCTCGATGTATTTTATTTTGACCAAAATTTATATTCTAGATTATCTCTTATTCACAGAATAGTAGAAAATTTTTGTTTTCTACTCTATGAATTACCCCATTTCGGTATTTCTTGTACAATGTTTTTGATTCAAAAAATCACAGTTCCATATTTTCCGCTTCTACATTTTTGCGTATTATTTATCCACTGACCTAGCTCAAAAAATTTCATTCAGTCTCTCTCAAGCCTAATTCACTTTTTCTATCAATTTGACATGATTGACATCTATTCTCTATCATATTCCGTTCTCTGATTCAATTATCCTTGTTTTTTCCGGGTTGCACAATATTTTATGATTAGATTTACATTTATCAATAAGGAAATATAATACCAGGTCAATCTGAAGCTGGCGTGTCTTTGGCGCATTTCAAAATTTGAGGACAATAAAATTTTACTGTTTTCATCTGATTTTAATTGGCTAACTTTTTTGAATTACTTGTTATTTCAACTAGAAACACACACTACCGGTCAATAAGATATACAAAATGCGTTCTTCTGATGATTGTGACCATTTTCGAGAGACTGGAGCTTGGCTGTTAGATGTCAGATCACTTTGAAAATTTTGGAGGGTGTAAAACAGACATAGATTGAAAACTTTCAGCTATTTTTTAATTTCTGAATGACACCCCCTTTTTTACGATTTCAGTACAAAAACGGGATGTCTTCCAGAAATCGGCGAACAGCAGACATTTTTGGATATTCCAAAATACTCTGTGAATGCAAAGTTTTAAATCTACGTCTTTTTTACACCCTCCGAAGTAAAAAATCCATTGAAAACCCCGTTTTTCTATATCATATGGACCGGTACTGTATTACAAAATCTCACCTGTACCATCAGCAATAGATTCAACTGTTTTTGTGATTTAAGCGATTGCTGCGTCGTCACTGACTTCTTTTTACTCATCATTTTCTGCATGTGCGAGAAACAAGCAACAACCACTAACACGGATAAAACCATTGCTGTGAACATGAAAAATGTGCATATTCGAGCCCAGACATCATACTCCATAGTTCCCGTTTCAGGCATCATTATCTTCAAAACACCAGAAATTTCAAGATCAACTAGAATTTGACCTACTTTCTCTTCAGGAGCAATTAAAAATGAACTATCTTCATGTCCGGTTATTTCTTGTATCAAAGACTCGGAGATATCCATTTCATAAGAAGTCGGTATGTATCCAAGATAAATGAATATGGATGTGGGGATGGCTACCAAAAGAGGAACTGCATTTATAACCAGTCGGAGAACCGTATGATTTTTGAGAGCTGGACTGAAAAATTTTAATGAATATTAAACTACTTTCAAACAACTTACTTTGATAAAAGATAAGCAACCTGCAGGTACTGAACTGTTGGACCCGTACAAGAAGTGACTACTAGAACTAAGAATAGGTTTATCAGATTGTTTCCCAATTCTCGGGACATGTCGATTCCGCCTTTGACAATGTATAGAGCTTTCACTTCGCTGATGTACATTATTGTCTGAAATTATATTTTCGGTTTCGAAAAATTTTGAATTGTGTCTGAAAAGTGTAACATAGATTCGCGCGTGAGTGTAGATCGATTTCGAAAATAAGACATTTTTTCAGTTGACTTAAAAGTAAAAAGACTAAAATAATGGTATGGCTTGTAAAATTTGTACCAAGCATTTTGAAATCAGTCATTTCTAAAGAGTCCTAAAAGCATCTAAAATTCGTCTATTGGTTTTGTAGAATGTTTTTCTGTAAAAGTTCATCTAAATAAAATAGCGTAAGACCTGTAATAGAATGGCCCCACACTGTCAACACTTCCCAAAAAAGATATCAAAGGTAACCAGAAAAAATGTTTTTGATGTTAAGGCAAACATTATTTTGGTCAACCACTCCGAAAACTTATACAGGAAATTGGGGCTCTATATGATTTCAGCGGTCCCTAGAGAAAATAACGGTCCGCAGTGAAAAAAGCGGTCCGCAGTGAAAATAGCGGTCCGCAGGGAAAATAATGGTCCAAAAAGAAAATAACGGTCCGGAGCGAAGTTTGCGTTTGGGAATTCAGGAAAATTCCATAAATCCTGTTTTTATTGAATTTTCAATTACCAATCGAAGTTTTTTGTTGTTTTGTTGGTTTTTTTGGGGAAAGTAGTTAAAGTTGGAAAACTTGTGGTAAGTTTTGAAAGCTATACACACCTTGCAAGTATTTTTTGTCCTATTATAAGTCTCATTTATAAGAACATCCAAAAACCGCAATTCTCAAATAGTTCATACCTATTTGACAAGAATGTACTATATTTTCTACATACTCAAAGTTACCGTAAAATCTGTGTTAGAAGGGCCGTCACTTCTATATTTCTAAGCCTCTCTCAGAGAGGCCTTCTATTAGAGGGGACGGTCGGCGGGGTCGGTGGTCGGTCGGTCGGCTAAATTTCCCGACCGAATGGAAGCCTTAGCTTGAACCCAAGTGTGTGTTGTGACGATTAATAAACGATTGGTATTCAAACTTTAAACCAAAGTTATGAAACCGCATTTTCTGCATAGAACTGCTCTAAAAACCCACACGAGTTCCCGTTTATAATCAAATAAATCGTTTCTTTCCAACTGCGCAAATTTGTTAGAAATCAAAGAAGTGACAACTGAATTATCATTATCAAGCATTTTCCAGTCTGAACTCCTTCCTCCAAATGTTCAAATAATTTCCTAGTCATGTCTTTTATTGTCTTTTGAGACCGTCCCAGTAATTTATGTTGTGCTAACATGATTTTCAGAATATTTTGAAACAGATAATTGTTCTTTCACTTCTAATCTACAATTAAAGAATTTTGAGCTCAATGATTTTCGAAATTTCATAGTTTGCTCTAGCTTTTATTTTTCAATTTTTGTTGTTGCAATTCTTTAGAAACAACTCATATTTTTTTTAATTTACGAAATTTTCAGCATTTTTTTAATTGGAAGATTCCGAAATATGGGTAATCGAATTTTTAGGCTTCCTTTGTGAAAAAGCCCATTGTAAAATGAAACTTTGTACGAATTTATTAGCACTTTGAAACAGATATTTTTGTTTCAACTTTAGTTCTCAAAATTTTATGTTTCAAATATTTGATATTTTCCTGTTCCTTTTTTTCCATTGAAATTATTTTTAAAAAATTGGTGTTAGAAAAAATGCGAATGTGCAAAATAGAACATTGAAAACGCGGAACCTCTGCTCCAGTCTCAAATTGAATTTTCAACAAAACCAAAACTCCAAACATCAATTGAGTGAGTGATCAGGTGTTCATCTGATCTCTAAAAGTCTCAAACCATTTGATATTAAAATTATCTAGCCAAGTTCATTTCTTCATCCCCTTGAGAAGGCGTGTGCTACGTAAGTAGACTGAGCGAGTAGTATTCCTATAATTAGTGTCTCCCCCTTGGAAATTCAAAGAATCATATTTCACACTTTTTTTATCATGTCTAGACGTTTTTGCTTTCTAAATGATAATTGAGGTCCGACTTTTTTGGTTAGACTGAATTCAACGATATCGAACGAATTTTTGTTTAGTTTTTCAAAACATAGAAAAATGTTGGAACACTATTAGAATGTGATAACTAAATAAGATTATCATCACTCTGAAACTGAAAAAAAAGACTTAAGCTATTTTGAAAAATTCTTTTCTGTCTTCTGTAAATTTTCTGGTTTTTAAAAATTTCGCAGAAAATGTTATTGTTACTGCAGTTGTACCATTAATTTGCATTTTTTGAAAAATCAAATCATGGTTTTTAACATTGAACTTTTTTCAAATTAATCATTAAGAGAATTTCCGATTTTCAAAGAAAAAATCCGATTTTTAAAAAATCGGATCATTTGGAGATTCCGATTTTAACATTTCGGAATTTTCGGAATTTCCGACATTTGAAAACGCGGGAAATTCCGAAATTCCAAGTTTTCCGTTTTAGCATAACTGATTCATAAAAAAGAATCCACCAGAGACTTTTTGTAATCCTTACGTCGTAGTTGTCTATTTTCGAAAATCCGGGACACACTTGGAATATTTTCAGTATTCGCGAAAAGTTACGTTCTCTATATCGCAACATATTTCTTTATTGTATTTCTGAACACCTTGAAACATCAATTTTCGGTTTCTAATAGTCTCCATTGACTATTTCACACTTACCGTGATAATTTTGGCGCTGCATCTTGATCATCTTATCGAATAAACCATTTTCAGCAATTCCCAAAATGGCAACATTCACCACTCCGGTCCCATCGGAACTTCATGAAACTTATGTCAATGAAGCGAATGCCTACGTGGCAGGATTCGTCTCTTTAGTCTCCAACATTGCTCTAATCTACGCTACAGCCAAAGTTAAAACTTATTCAAAAGCATTCCGATGGATTCAATACTACGTTTGTGTTCTCAGATTGATATTTTCTATGGTTGTGGTGGTGACATCGCCGGTTAGTCCCCTTCTGAACTTTTGAGCTTTTGATTGCTTTATTTTCAGACACTTGCTTATGTGGCCAAAATGAAGTCATTGTACATCGTCAAAGGCGGATTCTATCTTCCTTTCAATACCGGTTAGTTGTTTATGTTTTCGGATTTTTTTGACAAATTGAGGGATACAAAATGACAAGTACATAACATGAACTTAAGACCACTAATTTTGTTTATTTCTCGAGAATATATTAAATTGGAAATACCAGAAAAAAGATAGCGTCATTTTTATGTGAAAAATTGTTGCAAACTTGAAGTGGTGTGATTCTTAAAGGAGGGGAAACAGGAAAAGTTTAGAAGTTTTCTTGGAGTTGCGGTATGCATTCTGAGATCATGTACACTGTTCAGTGTTCACACAGCGTGTTGTTATCGTGGCACGTGCACCTCAGCTTGCACCACCGTAGCTCAGCTGGTAGAAGCGCGGCACCTCCATAGTTGGACCCGAAAGTTCAATTCCTTGACGGGTGTATGAACGGAATGTCGAGGAAAACGTTTATGTCCCCTACATTTAAGAACACGACCTCTTCATTTTCGGGGAAGACATATCAAAATGAAAAAAATGTGATTTTGAAAATTTTGAAGATTATCGAACAAAAAAGCTAATAGTTTTAGAAAAATTGACGGCTTCCTATATAATAATGAAAAAAACGGTAACTTTCAGGAATTATCTTCCTAATCCTTTTCGTGTTCTTCGTTGTCATTTCCTGCAGCTCTCCATCCGTTCAATACCTCCAGTTATGTCATGTGCTCTCAGAGTAAGAGTTGTTTTAGATTCCAACCCTAAACCAACCTGAAATTTTTCAGCAACGCTCATAAACGCGAACACTTTGGTCCTATCATCTCGACCATTTCTGTTATTGCTGGAATTCCAACACTCATTTTGGCATACGTCGGGTACACTCCATCTCCAGCTGAACTTCTGGAAGCTAAGGACATCGTTTACTATTTGAATGGAGAAGGAGATAGTGCTTTCCTATTGGTTACTGCATTTAGAAACAATATACTCGACTGGACATCCATTTTCTGTACCTTTTACATCCTGATCATTATGATTCTATCAGTGATTACTGTAATCGTTTGCGCTTTTAAGATTCAGAAACAGATGAAGGCCAAAATGATGAGTGACGTAGCGAAAAAGTCGCAAAATCAGATCAATATGATTCTCTTTCTTCAGGTAATAAGAGAAAAACGAAATCTTGTTCAAATCGAATTAATTTTCAGTTCGCTTTACCATTTCTCACTATTCATGTTCCATTCTATGTATCTTTTATATTGCCAATGTTTGATATTGAAAACTCATTTTTGTCAACTAATTTGCCATTTTTGTTCTCTTGGTGCCCGGCGATCAATCCGATTTTGGTGATTTTTATGGTCAAGGTAAGTAGGTTTTATCGATAGCAGATTAATTGAACATTGTCAAAATGAAAAAATAACAGAATATTGAAATCGAATAAATACTTTGAACTTTTTTCCGGACCAGAACCAACAATCACTTTTTAACCAATTCCATCCCTCATTTCCACCCCCAAACGTTCAAAAACCATCCTCCAACATAATTCAATTCTCAGAATGTGCGCGACCGAATGTTCTGCAAGTCAGCGTCCTCCAAACTATCCTCCACAAATATGATTCAAGTTCGTCAGACGTCGCAGGTGCTCAGTACACGTGCACACTGAGCAATCTCCCCCGTGGATCCTCAAACTGCCAATTTGTAATTAATATGATGACGATTTCGTCATTCAAATGGCTAGACGGATTTCTGTTATTCATCTCCTCGATACGTGCCATTTAGGATCCTTAATTTTTTGCGAAATTATTTAATTTTTGATTATCAACGTTTAGGTCTGTTCTTGTAGGAACAATTGTCGGATACATTATATTTTGCCAAATCCAGGCTGACTGAAAGTTAATAAACATATAACAAGTAGTGAATTTCAAAAGTTTTAATTTTCACAAAATACTGAAATTTCAAAAATTTTTGTGAGCCACGTGAATCTTATGAATCTCCCAAAAGATGGACCGTTAAGTTTTTGGGAGCAACGTGTTTTTTTCAAAAAATATAACAGAAATATTAACACTTTCTGAATATTTTTCCCAAAATTAAAACTTTTGAAAATCACTACTTGTTATATTTTTATGTTTCATAAACTTCATGCAACATAAATAATGAAGTTCTCAGAAAAACGGAAAACTTTAGCAAATATTTACATCCGATTCAGTATCCCAAACAATCTATAAACCCCCAAAATCAGGTACGGACCTGTTGTATTAGGACTACAGTAGCCAAACGTCACTTTGCGCATAATGTAATCATGATAGCACAACCCCAAAAATTGGTCGAACATTGCGATGACTATTTTTTATCTAGAAAGGGAAAATTAATTTAATTTCAAAATACGTTAAATGATTTTCATTAGTTTCGCCTTGAACGAGCTTGGTGAAAAAATTATTATCGATTTTTTGTCTAGATTGCAATGTGTCTATGCTAAACTCAATCAGTCTGTAACGAGGTCCAACTGGTATTTATCATAATCAGATTCTGCCTATAGAAGCCAAGCTAGATTTATGGAGGTATTGGTTGAGCTACGCGGTTACACAGTTTGATTTTCACCCCTAAACTTTCACTTTAACTTTTTTCCTGCCTTACATCATTTAAAGTAAAACATATTTCCCATACTTGCAAAAATCGTTGAAGGCCCGGCCCGGCCCGGAAGGCCCGGACACGAATTTTTTTGGTCGAAATTTCTCAAAAAAATTTTTTTGATAATTTTTTGAGAATTTTTTAACAAAAAAACTAGTTTTCGAAAGAAAACTGTTTTTTTTCTTCAAAAATGCAATTTTTCTTCGATATCAACTTTGGAAAAACTCAGGAAAAAAAAAATATTTTTTCAAAAATTTGTTTAAACATTTACAAATTCAATATTTACTATTTAGCTTAAAATTAGATGATAAAAACAACTTTTTCAAAAAAAACACACTTTTTTGCCCAAAAATCGAAGCTGGCGCCAACTGGCCAGGCCTTCCGGGCCTTCCGTGCCGGGCCGGGCCTTGACCAATTTTTTGAAGGCGGCCCGGCCCGTTGCAAGTATGATATTTACTGATTCTTTACTGGGGTCTATGCTTTAAAAAAAAATGAAATCATTTTCGGAACATGAAAAAATATTTTTTGTCGGAAAAATATTTTTCGGTTTCAAAAACTAGGTTTTATTAGAATAAATCGAATTTCACATTCATATTCTGTTCGGTAACAGATTCCCATCTTCACAAACCTGCCATCGTGGTTTTCTGCCATTCTTCAGGTACATTGGTTCCAAAGGTACATATGATTTTAGTACTGGAAAACGAAAAAAAAAACGTTTTTACAGACTATTTCTTTTTTGCTGAAAATTATAGGCTTAGGCTACAACGCAATACACCCCAAGACCCCATGTACTCTCTGAACTATTGAACGCTAAGAACTGGGCTAAAAAACATAGGTTTAACATTTATTGTTCAGAGTAAGTCACATCGATAAATTTTAGTGTTTTTCAATATAAGAAACCTCGAGAAAATCTAATTAAACTATGTTTCCTCGATTCCAATTTAATGTCTAGAAAAAAACCGATTCAAAATTCAATTATCCCCAAAAAATCAAATTAAGAAATTGTTTGACATTTCCAAATTTTCGTAACCCTGACTGACAAATATTTTTCCCCGAACTATTATTGAATCAGAAAAATATTCAACTCTCAAACACATCTTGAAAAACCGAAAATAAATATATAATCGTTTCTTTTCATGCATCTTTATAACTGGCTTCCAAGTACTCTTTGTTCTGATTGTCGGTGTTCTTTTTCTTATTTTATGAATCCCGCTTCGAAATTTTGGTCATTTTTCAGTATCCTTTCTTCAGAAAAAAACTTCCCAGAATCTCCAACTGGTATTTATCATAATCAGATTCTGCCTATAGAAGCCAAGCTAGATTTATGGAGGTATTGGTTGAGCTACGCGGTTACACAGTTAGATTTTCACCCCTAAACTTTCACTTTAACTTTTTTCCTGCCTTACATCATTTAAAGTAAAACATATTTCCCATACTGAAAAAAACTTCCCAGAAAAAAACAAAAATTATAATCAATTTTCAGAATTTCAAAATCATTTTTAGATATGACGAATCTACCCAACATCAATGACACTTGGTTCGACGAGTTCAACAGTATATTCACTGGATGCGTCTCATTAGTATTCAATGTAGCTCTCATGTTTGCAATTCCAAAAGTGAAATCCTATTCGGATACGGTAAAACGAATGCAAGTATTCAGTGCGTTTCTCCGGTTACTATTCTCAATTTTAGTTATTTTTTGTTCGCCGGTGAGTCAACAAAAACAACACAAAGTAATCAAATCTATTAACTGCAGACACTTGCTTACATCATAGAAGCAGAAGCTGTCTACATCGTCAAGGGCGGATTTAAGTTGCCCATCAAGTTTGGTGAGTCAATATGTTTAAAAAAGAGTTTGTCATCCGCAGGGTTCGAACCTGCGCCCTCCTGAGAGGACTGCGACCTGAACGCAGCGCCTTAGACCACTCGGCCAGAATGACACGTTTGTAATACGGTTGAGGAGGAAAACATATTGGAAGGAATAAACGCTTCGAAATTATTAACACTAAAATGACGTACTAGAAACAGTAAACCTTCCAGGTCAAGCAATGCTGATAACTTTTGTCACATTTGTCATATTTTCGTGTATGGGTCCACCAATGCAGTTTTCACAAGTGGCTTTTATTTTAAAGAAGTCAGTGTAAAAGAGAATTCCGTAATACCATAAAACCTGTATTAGACGGGCCTTCCGAGAGGGTCGAAAATAGAAGGGCCTCTTCAAAAGTTTAATTTTCTAAATTAATAACCTTCGTATATTTTCGAGAAAAATATTCCTGCTTAATTTTTATGGAACTGATTAATTTTTATGAATTTTCACAAAAACTTTACCGACTTTTTCGCTGACTATGAGAAAATTCGGAAAAAATGACCAAAAAATAAAAGGGCCCCTCTGATTGAAGAGCTCCTGTAATAGAAGGGCCGGCCTTTCTAATACAGGTCTTACGGTAGTTTAAACAAACTACAAGTTCTCTATTCCAGAAATCCTCGAACCCAAAAACAAATCGTCTTAATCACCACTCTAATCTCCTTCCTAGTTTCCCTAACTGCCGCATTTCTTATCACTTTCGGATATGTTCCAGATGCTGCTGACGATAAACTATCAGAAGATATAGTTTACTATATAAACGGAAAAGGCAAATCCGCTTATCTAATCGCTTCATTAGAACGCTACGATTTTAATTTGAATAGATTCGTTCCGGACCCGATATCCTGGGCGTGTACTCTGTATATCGTAGGAGTTTTGGTGCTCACTACAGTAATCTGTCTGGTTTTCTGGATAGTTATAAAGATGGAGGTTCCTCGAGGATCTAAAAGTTCCAACGCAATAAAGTCACAAAAACAATTGAATACGGTACTCATCGTTCAGGTGGGGAAAACGGAAGGTCCAATTAAAATAAAAACCTGAAACCAATTTTGAAGACTTTCTGAAATAGTAAACATTTTCATTTTCAGTTCACCCTTCCCTTTTTAACTATTCATATCCCATTTTACATGTCATTTTTGATGCCACTATTTCGTGTCGAGACCTCGAATCTCTCCATTTACCTACCGTATCTCTTCTCTTGGTGTCCTGCATTGAATCCAATTCTGGTTTTTATCATGGTCAAGGTTTGTTTTCTTTTTTAATGAGATTTAAACTTTTCAAATTTTTCAGAGCATCCGAGAACAAGCGTTTTTCAATTTCCCTTTGAAGTCCGACTCCAGTGCAATGAACATGTTTACAAGAGCCAAATGAAGTCTTTCTGAAATTATGAACAGGTTTTGATTCACGAATGTTTTTTTCAAAAAATGTTCAGTTTCGTATTTTTGTCAAATAAACTCAAAAAATATAGTTTCCGTTTATTGCAGATAGCTTTTGACTACCAATTGCTAACGTTCCCAGAACCTGAACCGTTTTCCGAATTAAAAATAACACCAAATTCGTTTATAGAAATTTCCAAAAAACAAACAATAAACACTTTTTTAACCCGTTTTTCTCTCTAAAATTTGCATTCTTTCGGCATGGGAATTGTGATGGGTTCAGGTGGTGAAATATCAGATAATCGATAAATAGTGTATTCCGATGACTTCTTCTGCATCGTCCATTCGGCAGGTGCCACTTTTGAGAAGACTGTGTAGAGGATCGAAGTGATGACGACGCTTATGACGAGGAAGTAGAAGACAAGGGCCCACTGGAATTTTTAGGGTTTTATCAATTAGCCGTTTTCTTATTGGACAGAAATCCAGGAGCGTATGTACAAACGTTTTGAAACAGTACATCATTTTTAGCTTCGTGGCTAAGGATTTCCTTTCGGCCGGTTTGTAATCAGCAGTCGACGCCGACCGACCGCCAACACAGCTGAGCTAACCGATCGGTCAGCGCGCCTACCGATTTCGTGCATTTGCGCGTCAACATGTCACAGAGTGTTTGCGTACGCAGAATATCGTGTTTCCCAAAACAAAAAATGCGTCGTAATATATAATGCTGCGTACGCAAACACTCTTTGGCATGTTGACGCACAAATTCACGAATTCGGTCGGCGATCGGTCGGTCGGTTTTTCCGCAAGTAACATGGACAGGTGGAAGAGATAGTTTTTTCTAGTCCGCGGCATGCTAGAATTTCAAAATCGACATTGCATTTTCATCATTTTCCGAAAAAATGCTGTTTCAAAAAAATGATAAAAAACAACTTTTTGAATTTCCCAAATAATAGAGATTCAACGGCTCTTTTCTAGTTTAGAGGTCCCAAAAAAATTTAGAGGTCACAAAAAAGTTTAGAGGTCCCAAGAAAAAATAGAGGTCCGAAATTCGAAAAACGCACAGGTATTAGAATAATGTGCACAATTTGGAGTTTTGAGTTTTGAGGCTCTATAGGATGATAAGAGCGGAAATGTGACTTCTCGTAATAATTTTGGCTCCATTTCTCTCGTAATAATTTTGGCTCCATTTTTTTTTTGTCTTTTTTATGAACCCCAATTTACATATAAGCAAAATGTTGGCAAACATTAATGCCTCCGTGAATAAGCTTTCTCTCAGGCTTAGATAATTTTCAGAAAATATGCATTCTTAAGCCTATTAAAAGTATAAAATACATCATCAACACTTATATTTTAAATAAGACCCCAGAATTTTTATTTCTTACACATTTGGGACCTCTAATCTTTTTTCGGACCTCTAAATTAGAAAAGAGTCGATTCAACTGTATTTGTTCTTACCTGACTTCTAGAATTATCTGGAACCGCCGCTTGCACTCCCAACGGAATCAAAATCTGTGCAATTCCAGCAATCACCATGTTCAAGTTCAGAGCAAAATGAGAATGTTGAACGGCTCTCTGGAAACTTTTAATGTTTCTAAATTTAAATTTAGATTCTTACAATTTGAATCGTTCTACTGCAAATGACGGGAACGAAGAAGTGAAGAGATGCGAAGATCATCATGCAAATCAACGCCCACACACGGTCATCCAGCTGAATTAATTGGGGTAATTAGTGAGATAATTGAGGGTTAATTACTCACGAATCCAGTGAGAAAAAGAGAAAAGGCACTGGCGGATTCGAGAATTAGAAGTGGGATGACAAGGGTCAGTTTTGGACCACATCCCCATTTCACATCTGGAAAACAATTACGGATTCAAAATGTTGTTGAAACATAAATTTATGATATAGTAGACGTTTCTGCCAATATTGATAATTCTGAAACTCACCCAACAACCTTCCGCATCCAATTTTAATGAAAATCGCTATGAACTGTGGAATCGCAGAAAAGTATCCAGTTTCTCGAATCGTGAAATGAAGAACTTGTTTGATGAAAATTGGAGAGTACTGTTGGTAGACAATCATTGCCAAGTAATAACCAGTGAACATCAATAAACTAATCCAAATGGTCCAATCTTGAAGAAGTGCTTTGTACGGAACTGCTTCGTTTTCTTTGAGTGAGTGCTTTCCGGCAAGAATGTACTTTTTCTCTGATTCTTCGAGGTTTCTGAAAAAATTGTTTCACCTAATTTATTCCTCAGGTTGCTTCGTTTTTTAAACTTTTTCTTAGAACAATTTCTTTCCGCCTCTTCCTATATTACACTAGGATTGTGTTCTCTTGCTCCCAAGATGATTCACTTCTCTCATTAAAGCTTATTGATTTTAAGGTTTTTGTTTACTCAATATTTCTGCTGTTCCAGAAATTTCAGTTATTTGAAGTTAACATGACTTTTCTAATTCAATCCAGTTCAAGACGATTTTCTTCGAAAAGCCAAGTTCATTACAAACGAGAGAAAAATCGGAAATAATTGGTTTTCTAGCGACAGTTCCCATACCCCCAGTTGGTAATTTTTTAAAATTGAATGATAACTTACGGATTCTCCTCCACACTATCCGAATAATAATAAGCGAATGCAATCGACGCGGCGAGTGTACCTACTCCCAGAATGTAGTAGGTGGCTTCCCAACCGAAAAATGAGGAAGAACACATTTCACCGCCCAGAATCATGGTGAACAATGGACCGAATTGCGAAGTGGCCAACATGATGGAAAAGAAGAATGAAGCTTCTGATTGAGGAGTCCATCGAAGGACAATGTCATTCGTAAAGTGTAGCTGACTTGCTTGTGCGAATCCAGCCATGAATCTGCACACAAGGGCAGGCCAGAATCCTAACGAGTCGGCGAATGGGTAGAGAATGGAACTGATTCCCGAGAGGAATCCGTAGGAAAAGATTAGCATTCGTGTACTCAAAAAGTTGGCAAAATAGAAAGGAGCGGGACCAAGACACATTCCGATTGCAGTGGCAGTGAACATCCATGCGATATTTAGAGAATCCAATAGGTAGTAGTCTGAAAAAATCGAATATGTATTGGTTATAGACTAAAACAACAAAAATATTTGAAGTATGAAACAATATCGAAAAAGTGAATTTATTTTCTACTTCTATAATTTTTCTGTTTCCAAGTGTTGAGAAATACGAAATCCAGTTTTATCCATGTGTTGTTTGCTTCTCTTCTTTATTCTGAAATTTTCAAAAAAAAAACCAAAAAAACATGCTTCTCGCTGAAGGTCCCAGAACGAAAACTATCATAAGCTAGAAACATTTTTTCCGGTTATTTTAATTTTTTATGTTAATTCTCCTAAAACATTATAAAAATTTATAGTTTAAATTAAAAAGTAAAATTTTTTTGGGTTATGGTAGTTTTCGTTGTGGGACATTCTGGGACATATTTCTGAGGCATTAGTTTTGATGAAAGATAAAAACTTTTAAAAAAACAAAAGGTAGGAAAAATCATTCGAATTTGAAAATTTTTTCTGATTCATGAAGTTGTTATTTTTCTTTCGTTTTTTGAATTTCTAATTCTTCCTTTTCCAAGAATAGTAGTTTCGAAATAATACTTTTAACGCACCTGGCTCGACAATCGTCTCCGTTTCACTCTCATTTCCACTTTGCTGACAAATGATAGTAAACCCAAAAACGACTCGGTTACTGTAGACAAATGTCATGGATACGGTAGCCAAGAAGAGGAGGAAGAAGCGAAAATTGTTCATTTTTTCGACAAGACCAACTGTTCATTCGACACTGAAAAAAATAACAAAGTTCTGAATGACAAAAAAATTGGTGAAATGGTTTTATAAGTGAATGTGTCACTCGGGACATGATGAGAAAAGGAAAATTTGCATAAGTCAGCGAGTCTCGAGTGGTTAAAAAAAGAAGATAGGGCTAAATTTCGAAATTCCAGGGGAAAAATAACAGAAGATGTGTGAAGTGTGAGTATTTGATTTGTGAAGAGTGACGCAATACTTTGAACTATTTGAATCGATTGGACTGTCGAGGAACTCGAATTTTAAAAATAGTAATAGAAAATGTGTTCTTTGATTTTGATAAAATTCTTTGTGTATTCATAACTACACTAAAGATTCATGAAAGCTCATAACAAAGATAACAGACAGAAACAGAGAAAAATAGTAATTCGTTAATGGACTTGATTTCAGAATTCTTTGCTCCGTTTTCAGTTTGAAATTTTTTATTTGGATAAGCGTGGTTTCCAGAAGGTGCACTAAAAATGTATAAAGGCGCATGAACAAGATAACATAAAGAAACAGTGAAAAAAATGGGGATTTTGATGTATGACTCATAATATTCGATCAATCTATTAATGCGTATTGCCAACTGCAGGAAAGATGTTTTTTCCTTTTTTTTTGTGTTTCAAAAGCTTTTTAAAAAATTTTGAAATAAAATTCGAAAAATTGATCTAGATCACAGTGTGCTTCATCAAAAATTATTTTTTTAACACATTTTTTCCCAAATGTATTACAAAACACTGTAATCAAACTTTTTAGCACTGGTGGCCATGGACGAAAGCCCCACAACGAGATCTACCGTAGCTTTATTTACTCTATAAATTAATTAGCGGTGCCTCTTATTTTCCCAATCTTGATTCACATGTTTCCATTTCCTCTTCCGCCCGTCACCCCATGTTACTTATATGCCATCGCCCCAAAATAAACGACTATTTTGCCCAAACGATCCCAATTTGGAACGCTATTGTGAAAAACTACCCCACCTTCTTACCACCCTCACAATTCAAAAAATTTCTTGAGATCTCGATTACCCGTTTCTGACTTGCCCCCATCCCTTTGATCTTGCCACTATCTCTCTTTTCCTTTCCCACATTAGGACTAACTCTTGCGGGTTAGTCCTTCTTACCTTCGTTTTTATCATTTTCTTTCCCCAGTTACCATCATTCCTTATTTCTTCAGATCCTTCGAATAAACGAAATATATTTTTTAAAAAAACCTCATAGTTATTTCATTTTCCGGATTTTTCTCCATTTAGCAGAAACTACCGTAACAAAGTCGAAAAATAAAAACTTTTCAAAGTGGGGAATTGTCGGAGAACTGACGAAAATCGAGAAAAAAAAGTCCGGAAAAAGAATTGTTCTAGGTAGTTTACCTTTCTGCACCATTTCTTGGAGGAACCCCGATTTGCAGTGATTTTAAGCGTTTTTATGTGAAAGTTACATGTTTTTCAGTACAAAATTCTGGAATTTTTTGTTGAAATTCTGAAGAATTTTTAAATACGGTTTAGTTTTTCTGTAAGTGCTTATATATATTTAACATTGATGATTTTACTTATAAGGATATGCATGAAAAATTTGAAAATCCTGAAGAAGGAATAAGAAATTCCGCCCATTGCTGTGAAAATGGTGCAAAGTCTGTATAGAACAGGAACAATAGTAAAAAAGTATAAAAGCTCAGAAACAAGAAAAAAGAAACAGTGAAAAAGTTGGAAGATTTTGATGTATGACTCATAGGATTCGATCAATTTCTTATTTCGTGTTGCCAACTGCCGGAAGACTTTTCTATGTGTTTCAAAAACTAAAAACATATTGGCATCCACTTTGAAAAAAATAGTGAGTCCGTCAAAAATATTTCTTGAAAATTGAAAAAAAAATCCTGACTTCCCGTGAAGTCTCTTATAGAGTTCCACCTGGCCCGCCAACTTTGAGCCAATTTATCTCGATTCTTGTGAGAGATATCAAAAAAATTTGTCAACTGACAGAACGTTCATCGTAATCTTTAAAACATTTTTTTAGTTTGCAATTTTTTCGATATCTTTCACCGGAACCCAGAAATTGGAAAATTTTATTTTTGAAATTTCAAACTACTGTTCCATCATTATTATGTTGGAAAGTCAGAGGTTGCTAATTTCGATACACATTATTGTTAGAGCAGACAGATTTTTTGAAAACTTATTCCACAAACAAAGATTCTTCAAATTTCTCTCTTTATTCCGAATAGATCTCTGGTTAGTAGATGTAGATCTCTGGTTAGTAGATGTAAATACAAAAAAAAGTTCAATAATCTTTTCTCAATCAGCACGTTCCAATCGGCGATACAATCGTGTGCAAATGCAGAATCGTTTCAGGCATTGTCGTGTTGGCAAGACTGCTCCGTGGTACTGTCAGCTCATTGCCACTCAACGGCCCTAATCTGACGAGAGAACGAAGGACCGGGTTGACTTGCCAATCAAATGGAGCTGACAAATCGATATTCTCGCTGTGAGCAATCGAGAGAACCATTTGCGAAATTTTTTGGTAGTCCGGTTTTTGGTGATGGCTGGAAAAATAGTTTACGGAATTGGACAAACAATGTTTCGTAATTATTTAAGAATAATATATAAACCTTTTGAAACCCAAATTTATTTTTCTATTTTTTTCAACTCACGACGTATTCAAAATCACTTCAAAAACATCACTCCATCCTTTTGCAAGACCATCAAATAGGTGATGTTTTCCACCAGCACGACGGCAATACATTTTCCATTCTCTCACTTTTGGAAGATTCAGAGATCGAGTGGCATTGTGCCAGGGGAGTCCTCCCTTCAGTAAATGAATAACCATGTATAACCATCCTTCCACGTCATCGATTGGAGACTGATCACAGAATCCAAGAGAGGTCAGAGGGGCGTATGGGAAGGTTCCGACGGATGGACCATGGGGGCGAAGGAGGTGAGGACTTCCGTTGTTTTCGCTGGAAAAATGTTCTGTTTCACATATTTGACACATACACTTTATAAAGGATTCAGCGGTTAGAATTTGTGCTCTTCTCAAACTTACAGATATCTCCGAGTGAGTCCGAAATCCAGCATATACACAATATTGCTTTCCTCTCCCAATCCAACAGCGAAATTCTGCGCCTTTACATCTCGATTCAGCCAGCCGGCCTCATGAAGAACACGAAGACGATCCAGAGTTTGAAGAGCAATTTTATAGACAGTGGATGGTGTGAAACGTCTCTCGGGAGCAAATTCAAGGAGCATCGACAGATCCGGACCGACGAGTTGCATTACGATGTACTTAAAGGTGTCGGTACGTCCTGAAGCGGTGAGCGATGGGAAGCCAGTTTGGTGGCCGAGGGCTTGGAGCACGGCGTGGTCGAGCTGAAAAAATATTGCAATTTTTGTTAAATCAACATTTAATCCAGTGAGTTATTGGAATCGATGAAATATATTTCACAATTTCAAGAAACAGTGTGTTTCTGTGTGAAACATTCCTAAAATTTTCCGTATCAGTTAGGTGTGTTAATGTAGTGGCATTTTTACAGGTTTTAACGAATTTGACAGTACGATATTATTGTTGTCCGAAAAAATTGGAGCGAGAGAGTTTTTTTGCAGTCTGAATACGGTAGGCACCTCGAAGCGGAAAGCCTAAATAGCGCATATTCGGTTGAGACG